GGAAAGACAGGAACAAGTGAAATCTAACCTGCTGCATTTCCTTTCAACATGTGCATTTATTTCATAATGCAAATTTCAAATGATCAAATAATACATGTTCATAGTAGAGAAAAATATTCAAATATGTGTAATACCAAGTTGTATAACTGGTGATGAACTGATCGTTGTTGACGCTAGGAGACAGATGCACAGGAATTTGCTAGACTATTGTATTTACCTTGGGATGTGTTTGACATTTACATTGACCCCGAAGGGACCCAATATTAATAGTTGTGTATGTATCCTTGCATGATTATATACACATGTATATGTGTGTGTTATGTGAGATAAGATCCTAATACACATTTCATATAGTATTGCTTCAAGAAGATGTCTGAACTCTCCCAGCCTCGTCAGAACAACAGAACAAATACAGACAGCAACAGGCAGGAAAGAGAATGGAACTGGTTAATGTTAAGAGAGCACATGTGATCCTCGAGAGCCAGAAGGAATAGGTCTTGGAAACATACAAAGACACACACACATAATATGCAAGGCTCCTTTTCAGGGGGGCTGTAAACAATGGCTCTGTGAATCGGAAAGTCAGAGCTGTAAGTTCTGTCTAGGGCCCTTCCAGGCCTCCTCTCAAGTCCAAAGCAAAGTCCCATGTATGCTGTGTGTCTTGTTGCCACAACGAATGGAGATGGTAAACACACCCAGGCAAGAAGCATGTTTGATTCCCGGTCCCATCTATCATTCACTATTTAAAACCATGATGAAGCAGTATTAGCAGAAATAGTAACAGGAGTACCTTACATCTAGATCAGTGATGGCGAACCTTTTGAGCTCGGCGTGTCAGCATTTTGAAAAACCCTAACTTAACTCTGGTGCCGTGTCACATATAGAAATTTTTTGATATTTGCAACCATAGTAAAACAAAGACTTATATTTTTGATATTTATTTTATATATTTAAATGCCATTTAACAAAGAAAAATCAACCAAAAAAATGAGTTCACGTGTCACCTCTGACACGCGTGTCATAGGTTCGCCATCACTGATCTAGATGAAGCCATAGACTGTCAGAGCTGAGATGAAAAGTACCCCTGTGACCCAGGAAAACAGTGGCTTACTCATTTGATGGATAAGGAAGGGAGCTCAGCAAAATTAAAGTGATGTGATCAAGCCACATTTTCAAAGAAAGAGAGTCAGGATTTGAACCCAGATCTTCTGATTTTTATGTGGAGAGAGGTTTCCATCACATCACATTTTAAATGACAGGAGCATCTGTTTTCTGCCTATTTTATGCTCAGACAGGCTAAGAAGGAAAAACTATTCCAGTTATGCTAGGGTGCCATGGTAAAGTAAAAATGTATGCAATCTACACACCACACAGATCCTGCTGCCGATGCAAATACCAACAGGGTGCGCAGAAGTGTCTACCAAAGCAGTCATCATATTGTCTTCATGTTGCCACTAATTGAGGATGACACTCCTGGGGGACAGGGAATGGACCTGGTGAGTGACACCATCCCAGGGAGTCAGCATCAGTCCACACGAGACAAATAACAAATACTTTTTAATGGGATGTGAATAGAAGAGTCCAGGAACCCCTCACTAATCTCTCATGCCTCATAACTATGTGTGGTGCCAGATGGCCACTCAACTTATCAGGGTGATCACTTTGTAAGGTATAGAAATGTCTAATCACTGTGTGGTACGCCTGAAACTAATAGTGTATGTCAACTGTAATTTTAAAATTTTAAATAAATAAATAACTCTTTCATCTCATCCCGGAGATAAGGGTAAGTATAGGGCCGAGACAGGAAGGTCCCTAAGTCAGCCTTCCTTATCTCATTAGACCTGAGATTTTCACTGCGTTCTTTCACGTGGGCTTTTCCCCTCAGAGGTCTCCTGCTCTAAAGGAACACAGAGCAACGTATCGACATCTCCAGCTCTGATCTCGTCCTCTGAGTCTCAGAAGAACGGTGCTCTCCCTGCTTGCACAGCACCTTTCCAAGAAACTCCAGAATCTTTTTTTTTTTTTTTCAAACAAGTCATTATTTGTTTACACACCACACCCAGGAGTAGCAGGCCACTAATTGCCGTTTTACAGGTGCAGGAACAAGCCCGGCATGGTTCGTGGAACTCACCGAGGACACAGTGACTCAGCACAGGTACATAAAGGTTCTTGCTGTCCCGGTAAAGGCCTGGGCAGGGCTCTTACAGCTTGGCTGCTGTTTCCAGCCTCGGCCACCACACCACATCCTGCCCCTCTGTAATCCAGGATGCTGTGTCCTGACTCCTTCCTCCCAATACACAGGCGTTTGCTCTTCACTTAGAACAGTGGTTCTCAAACTGGGACATATATTCTGTCCCTTCCTTTATGTCCCTGTTCAGGTGGCCACAAGTGGGGGATAAGAGAGTATAGCTCTCAGGGAGGAATAGGAACTCAGGGGCATTAGTTAGCACATTAACTTCCTGCCTTCCTCATTCACTATTCATCAGTCAGTCCTAGAAGAGCTGTGGAGCCTGAGTTCACATTCAAGTTCCATCCATTATTCGCTGTGTAACTTTGGACAAAGCGTTCAACTTCTCAGTGCCTCAATCTTGTCATCTACAAAATGGGAATGATAACATATGTCTTATAGTGGGAGCATCGAATGGGAAACTGTAAAGTGCCAAGCAGATGATAAGCTCTCAATGTCAATTCTTACTGCTGTCATTATTACGTAATATATTTCCTTGTCAGGTTTTGCCAGATGCACCATCAAGAAGCCACAAAACAGCCATTTCAGTTACTTTTTAGAACAATGCAGTCCTCAGTTGTTGAGTTGTTTTCCAGCACGGATACAGGATTTTGCACTAAAATTGCTTAATGTTTCTGGAAGTGAATCAGGAACAACAGGGTGGGCTGGCAACTTCCAGACAGACTCAGCTGCTCCCTTTTGTTAAAGGATTAGCACCAGGGCCCTGCAGGTGGAGTGGCAGGTACAAGCAGAGAGAATGGAAGGTGAGAGAGCGCTCAAGTCTCTGCCTGGAAACACTCCTGAGTCCTTGCTTCCTGCGAGAGCTGCTAGAGCCAAACAGATGACTATGATCACTGAACTGTTTTAACTGGAATATCTAGTTTTAACTTCAGGATTGGTAGTTCATGCCCTCCCTGACATCACTGTTTTGCACATGGGAAAACCGAGACTTGGAGAAGTTAGGGGACTTGCCCACTTCTCCCCGCCAGAACATCAACCTTGGCCTCCTCACTCTGGCTGGACCGTCTGCTGAACTCCACCGTGGGGCAGCCTGGGAACAGAGGCTGCTGCTAATCTAGCAGTTTATCGAGGAGTGGCCCGCTGATGAGAGAGCTGGCCTGGACGCTGCGACAGCCTAGCAAGTCACTGCCGGTAACGCCCAGGAGGTACTCACGTCTTGAGAAAGACATCGCAATCCAGTGTTGGAAACTAAAAACTCTTCCCTGAGAAAAACGTCTCAGAGCTAATTTTTAGACAAAGGGGAAAAAATATAGAGAGGAAGATGAAGTACAGAAGATCATGAAATGATAACTAAAATGATGGAATATGAAAAATACATGCCAGGTGATCTGCAGCCGGAGGCAGAGATTCAAGTTAGAAAAGGTGAGAGCAGTGATGCTCAAAGACAGCCGGCAGGAAGATCACCCAGAGGGCATGTTAGACCATTCATGGCTGGGCCCAATGATGTGCATTCCTAACAAATGCCCAGGGATGCTGCTGTGGCTCCTTAGGGAGCACACTTTGCAAACCACTGGGTTGCAGTGAAACAGAACCCGCAGTGTGTTATGGAGTAAAAAGAAAAAAAGGGTGGTGGGAGGAGGCAGGAGGAGAACAGCCCATCAGGTGTGTGCTGATCAAGCCGACCTTTCTGGGTCAGGGTGTGGTCAAGGTGAGGCTTACTCTCAGGGAGTAAGTTTCCAGGCGCTATAGCACCCTCCCCGGGGCCTCAGGAACCTGTGAGTCTATGGCCCACGCTTGCAAAAACCCTACAAAGCTGACAAGTGAACTAACTCCCGGCCAGACTTGGCGTGTGATTTTTAGAGCCTTTTCTTCTTTAAATGTATCCCCATCTGCTCACTGATGCTCACCCTCCCAGAGCAAGAGCACAGACTTCCATCCAATAAGAAGTCATACAAGTCTTTTTTAAAAAATATTTTTTTATTGATTTCAGAGAGAAAGGGAGACAGAGAGAGAGAAAGAGAGAGAGAAATATCAATGATGAGAGAGAATCATTGATCGGCTGCCTCCTGCACACCCCACACTGGGGATCAAGCTCGCAACTCGGGCATATTCCCTGACCAGGAATCGAACCATGATCTCCTGGTTCATAAATCTACGCTTAACCACTGAGCCACACTGGCTCTTTTTAAGACAGGTCTTAGCGAGAAATAGGTGACAAGTTCATGTGTATTAAATATAATCAATTCAGCAGCAAGTATAAAGGATGCTATTAAATCTGTTCTCATTTGATTAAGGGGAAGGGAAGAAGAGGAAAGCATTGGTCCCACTGGTGGGAAAGGATGCCCAAAGCATAAACCGGGCTGAGAAAGTGGACTTCACTTCACCACTTCATCCCAGGCTGGGTGGCCAACAGAAGCCCGGTACTGTGTTGTCTCTGGAAGGAATCAGGCCACCTGAACTCTAGTTCTTGCAGTTTCTGTCTAGGTAACATGGCCCGAGAGAGGGGCTCTTGTCCAATTAGGACCTGAGTTTCTAATCTGGAAAATGAGGAAGCTGACCAGATTTATCTCTAAAATCTCTTTCAACTCTAACTTCTCTGTTTTTATGGACACCCTGAAGAGCCTCCAGGGTAAACCCTTACTCAGAGATCAAAACAGAATAGGCTGTTTCTGAGGCACATTTTGTACTGAAAAGATCTACCGCAAACCACAGCGCCAGGGAGCGCGAAACAGCAAATTTCATTTCCTTTGGGCTCACGAATGAGGATGAATATATCAAAGAGAATCTTGTGCTAAGCATGCTGTACAAATACCGTGTAGGGTTACAATCATCTATTTTCAGCTTAGGACAGATGCTGAAGCTGCCAGAGGCTTGGGCGTACAGGTCTGGAACATGAGAAAAAAACAAGGTTTCTCAGTGTTTAAAAATATTTCGAGAGCCCTCAAAAGTGTTCTCAGTGACATCTGCAGCTAGAGTGGCGGCTGCTTCCAGCTCAGAAGCTGGTAAAAGATTTCTCAACCAATATACATCTATTGAGCCCCAACTGCATACCAGGCATAGCTTAAATAACTGATCCTGGTGAACCAGTTTCTGTAGCTTAAGGACCATGCAACTGAAATGGGTATTGTTTTTGCAAAATAAAAATGTTGTCTTCTATCTGTACAGGAGACACATACACACACCCGTCAAAATCTCCATAATATGTTAAACAACAAATCTATCCAACTGCCTCCCCCCACACATTCTCTTATCATTATTCCCTACTTAACTAGTTCCTCTTCCCAAACATCTGATTTCTAGGAATGATTCCTCAAATATTCCAGCCAGCCATATAACATTCTCAGCCACCTTGAACTAAGAACTCCTTAAAGAGAGGAATTAGGGTTCAGTTCTTTTGTATTCCCAGCACTCCATATAGTGCTGACAGAAGCTCTTTTTTGTACTCAATTTCTTTCATCCCCTACATTTAAGTTGTCAGCAAGTTCTGTTGTTGACCCCTTGGAAATTTCCCTTGATTTGCCTTCAACTCTCAACCACTCAAGTCTAGAGTCTCCTCCTTTAGTCTCTGGATCTCCACTCTTCCAATATATACCTGGCGCAAAACTCACTCTCCTCTGTAAGGACATCCAGAGGCTCTCTTTTCATTTTGATGTGCCACAGGCTCTGGGTCCTCTGTGCAGCGATAAAAGCTTCCTCACTCTGCCTCTCCCCTTATCGAGGGTGTTGACCCCTGGTCCCAACCCTAGGCCCCAGCTCTCACCAAGCAGGCACAGCTCCTCTGTCTACCCCATCTCTGTGCCTTTGCTCCTGGTATTCCCGCCCAGGAATCCATCCTTCCTCCCTTCGACTTCCATCTTTTCTCCTGTCCCACCTCACCAGGAAGCCATCTCCTTCTTTTCTAGGTCACAAGGATTTCTCTTTTCTACAACCACTGCTTCAATTCTCCAAGGGTCTTTGCAATGTTTTGTTCAATTGCCCTCCATTTATCCATGGATTCTCATTCTATTTCTCCACCTGAAAGTCATTGTCCTGAGGGCACAAATCATGCTGTTTATTTCTCTTTTTTTAAATGTCTTCATTGATTGTAAAGAGAAAGGGAGAGGGAGAGAGAGAGAGAGAGAGAGAAACATCAATGTAAGAGAGTAATATAGATCGGCTGCTTCCTGCATAACCCCCCCACTGGGGATTGAGTCCGCAATCTGGGCATGTGCTCTGACTGGGAATTGAACCAGCAACCCCTAGGTGCACTGGGCAACGCCTAACCAACTGAGCCACACGAGCCAGGGCATACTGTTTATTTCTTGCTATCTCGTTTAATACAAACAAAAGCTGGCCCCACGGGCTCTCTACAAATATTTGCAGGCTGAGTAACTAAAGATAAAATATTATCAGCAGGCCTATGTATACAAAGTTATTCTGAGAGAAAAAGATAAAAAAGGACATATATATGTATATATCTCCTAGTTTCTCTGAAATTTGTGGAAGAAATCTGTTCTCTATATATACCTGAAAGTATATAAGTTTAACTAATCTATAATCAAATGTTAATTGCACTTTAAAACAAGTTCACATACACTGCCTTAAATCATGTTCAAATCTAACTATTAATTGCAAGGCACTGTTTGCTGCCATGTGGAAAGGACAGTTCTGTTGCCACAACATCATAGACCCCTGGATTCAAAAAGTCCAACAGAAAAATATGCTTTTGATGTTGTTATCACTCCCAGTAAGAGCCATGGTGGGAGGAAGAATGGCCTCATTCTCTCCAGCTGCTTATACAAGGGCTATTTACCATTTTGATAGGCCTTTCACCAGTGCCAAGTGCTTCACAATATCACTTTTATTAGTCACTTGCCACGAGCACCATGTGACGTGCAGGAATATTACTGCCCTGTTGAACAGCGTGAATGCCCTCATGAAACACAGAGAAATTATGTGAAGGACTTGCCCCCCATCCCAAGACAAAGAGTGCGAGTCAGAGCTTACACTCAAAGCTCTGGTGTTCTGCTTAACCCCTGGGAAAATCTACAAAAGTCTTCCCTCAGTAAAACTGAGACACACTTGTCACCAGCTCATCACTTTAGGCTAACTCTCTGACAACACTGGAAACCAACTCAAGCCAACAAACATTTACCAGGTGTCTAGTAATGCCAGACACTGTGCTAACCAGGGGGCACACAGCAGTGAATCTGACACAGCCACCTGGTCTCCCTCATGGGGGCTTAGAGTCTAGAGAGCGGCTTACAGAGGAGGGGGCCGAAGACCATCCTTCGGGGTACAACCAGAAAAGATCAGAATGTCTACATTAATTTTATCTCACCTTTAAAGTGATTTTAACATTTATTTTTTATTTATTTTTTAATATATTTTTTACTGATTTCAGAGAGGAAGGGAGAAGGAGTGAGATAGAAACATCAATGATGAGAGAGAATCATTGATCGGCTACCTCCTACATGCCCACACTGGGGATCAAGCTCAAAACCTATGCATGTACCCTGACCTATGACCTCCTCATAGGTCAACACTCAACCACTAAGCCACGCTGGCTGGGCAAAAGTGATTTTAAAATTTCTATTTGTGTGTGTCTATAATGTACATAATGCATCAGAATAGTAGTGCATGTGTACAACTGTTAAATTAATGTGCTTATGATGGGGAGCATCTATGCTCAAAATATGTTTATAAATAAGGATGGACAAGCAGAAAAATTTGAAAAACCAATGAACTGAAGGATTATGTGGACTTTCCTGAACACGCCATAATGTTTCACATCTTCAGGTCTTTCTGCTTGTTATTTTCTCTGCCTTTAATGCACCTCCCCTCTCCCGCACTGTACCCTGAGTCAACTCTTTCAAAGCCCAGCTTAGCTGTCACCTGTTCAAAGAAGTTTTCATTATCCACCCCCCCCCCCAAGGCAGAGTCAATCAGTTCCACCTGGTGCTCCTACTGCACCTTCTACATCCTTCTATCGCAGAAATTATCACGTTGTGTAATTGTCCACATTTCCATTCTTGGCACTAGCTGGCTGGAATCTCTGTCTGTGAGTTCCCTGAGGGAAGGGTTCCTGTGGTCCACCTATTGTTCTAGCATTGGTGTCTGGCACATAGGAGACACTCACAGTTTAAGTGAGAAATGTATGCACAATTTTCTCTTACCAATGGCAATTGACTCAAAGACACAAGTTGCACATGAGCAATCAGAGTGTGTTTCACTTCCTCCTGTCTGTCCTTGTAGCGGGCCTGAGATGCTTTTGGGGTAGGGAAGAGTGTTCATGCTCAAGGTATTGAAGTATAACCCTAAACATCCAGTTAAGTAGAAAATTTAGAGCTGGGATATAAGAAAGTATACGTTTTAAATTCACCAGTGTAGGCTGGCCAGTTTTAATCTTGCATTAGAGATGGAGACCAAGTACTGCTAAATCTGGGAAGAACAAATCAGAAATGCAGAGATATGCTGTATTTGGGTAGAATAGTCTGTGACAATGCCTGTGAGACTGAGAGGGAAAGGAGCGCAGGGCTGAGTTACGAGCCTCATGTCCTGTGTCAGCTGTACATACACTACCTACTCCAGGGCCATTTGGTCTCCAGAGGAAGAGATCATGTTGATTCCTCATAAATACTTTCAGAGTTGGCATGAGGAAGTAGAAAGTAGAGAGGAAACAAGACTGTCAGTTCTATTCTTGCTCTGGTACCAAGTCAAATGGCCAAGTAAGAGTCATTTAAAGGGCTGGATTAGATTACCACTAAGGTCCCTCCAGCCTGAGTTCAACAACTTGATTATGTTGATGACATGGAGACAGTGTTATTACCATTGTAACTAGCTAGTTATGAGTCTTAATAATAGGAAGAAAGCAAAGGAAAGGTCAGACAGTATAAGCATCTGGGCAGCTTCACCAGGAAGCTGCAACTTCATACTCCCAGGGAACCACTGGTACATTCCCTGCAGATCACTGGGGGAAGGGGTTCAACAACGGGAGATTAATGCACGCACAGTGACGTCAGGGTGATGGTACAGAAGGTGTCAGTCTAGCCTGGGAAACAAAGATCATTGGCTAGAAGGGTGAAGCCAATGCAAGTGCACAAAATCCTGAAGGGTTCATTGGTTAAGCTCCCAGTTATAACTGGCAAAGAAATTCTTTCTTTCATTCCTCTTGCTTTGCTTCTGCTTCCTTGCACTAGCTTGCTCCTTGGCCTATACTAACCTGTGGTCCTAAAAGCTGCATGGCCCATCACACACAATGGACTGCAGCTGGGAATACAAGCTAAGCTAGCCAGATGCTGGACTGGACTATGCAAATATGGAGCAGAAACTCTGGGCAGTGGCTTTGATCTCACTCCTGCTGAAGACAAAATGGGACTTTTTCCATGGTGGGACAGAGGGAGATGGGACTTTGGAGGGGAACTCCCTTACTGCTACCTCTTCAAAAAAGCTTTCCATTAGACCTCATCCTCTCATAGAGGCCTCAGGAAATTCTTGCTCCCATGGCACTCCCAGAAGCCCACTTACACAAGTGACAGATGGGGGCACAAAGGACACCCCACAAATACCAGTATGTTGATCAGTGTGGTATGATCAACCCTTTAGGAAGACCTTCACTAAGGTGTAACTTGGAGCAACTACTTTAGTAGTCTGGACCTCACCCGGACAACAAATATTAACTGAACACCTAGTGTGTATAAGCCTGGTGCCAAGCAACATAGACCATCCTCATGGACTATGCACCTTGGTAAACTTTACTTTCCTTGTCTTCAACATGCAAAGAAGCTTTCATATCTAAACCTCTGAAATGTGATGATTTAGAGTGAACTCCAAACTGACTTGGCCCTCAAGATTTCCTCTCCAATTTCATATATTTTTAAAAATTCCATTTAAACACTTCAGAATTATAGAATTTAACTTTAGCTCTAAAATAATCCCTCATCCAAGTTAAGAGATCTGCATTTAAAGAATTCAAATGTATTTCTTTTTTTTTAAATATATTTTATTGATTTTTTACAGAGAAGAAGGGAGAGGGATAGAGAGCCAGAAACATCGATGAGAGAGATCAATCAGCTGCCTCCTGCACGCCCCCAAGTGGGGATATGCCCGCAACCAAGGTACATGCCCTTGAACGGAATCGAACCTGGGACCCCTGAGTCCGCAGGCCGACGCTCTATCCACTGAGCCAAACTAGTTCGGCTCAAATGTATTTCTTTATCTCAGCTGCCCGCATTGGGGTATCAGCACTACACAGCTGAGTGTGGGATTTGGAATCAAAAATCCTAAATCTGACCTCTGCCTCCATCACTTAGTAATTGTGTGTCCCTGGCCAAGCTATTTCCTCTGTCACTGAGCTGCATTTCTTTTGCCACTTGGCAAATTTTTATTACATGTCAACTATGTACCCATCTTGACCTGAACCCTGGGGACATAACAATGAACCAAAAAAGTATCAGAGAACTTTAGGAAAGCACTTCAGCTCTATACTGGGAATCAAAATAATCACTGATTCCTCTTAGTTCACAGGCTAAGGATCACTGAAATGATAAGAATCAATAGAATAATACATAGAAAATCTCTTTCTAAAAGATAAGATGTTGTTTAAATATTAGCTGGTGATCATAATTTGTAACTCAAATACTGATCACAGAACTAAGATAGAAGAA